TATATATATATATACAATATATATGGCAGGGTGAAAATAGTTATAAACTGTTAAAAAAAATAGCCTGAAAAAAAGGCCTGTACTGTAGTCGTGGGACTCACACTACCTTTTTTTTCAGCTCTATTTATCAGGTTTGACAAAAGGCCATAAAATTCCCAGAGATCCTTATCAGCAGTGCTGGATTTCACATGTTCTGTTCACACTCCTCTGTTATTTAGTGGAAACAAAAAAGTAAACAAATGACTGGGAAACACAGCTCTGTGCTTTTATTTACAAATTGTACAAAACCACACTGATGTCACATAAACGTATAAAATTATAGAACTGCTCCATGAACAGAGCTTCACACACAAGAAAAAAAAAATCAACACGGTTGATGTTTTTATTGCAAATGAACAACATGCTAAGAAGAAGAGAAGAAGCTGCCGTTGTTTGACTGGGCTTCAGTGTGAACTATCTGGGCTTTGTTCCTGTTGGAAATCAGATAAGTAGTTATGACTACTGTCAGTGCAGTATGAGGATGGCAGAATCATGTGAGGTTTTCTGACAAATCTCACCTCAGGAGGTTGACATAGTGCATCACCCAGTTCAGTTTGGGATCTGTGCATGTTTTACCTTTTCTTGTGTGAAAACTGTACGCCAGAAAAGCAAGAAAACGTTTACTATCAACATAAATACACTGATTGTTAATGAAAGCAGGTCAGAGAGGAGTTTTTTTATACTTACATGATGGCATTGATGGGACACATCTCTCTTTTGTCTTGGACTGAGTATCCCTTGATCACAAAAAAGGGGAGTTTCTTCTTCATGTATCTCAGACAGCATTCACGATGAGCTGTGTGACAAAGTTCAATATCATTAGAGAGTGTGTGAAATAATCATGGGACGGGTCGGTTTAAGAATGTGCTGCTGGAGGATAAAAAAAGGAGTGTAGCCGTCACGTACCTGCTGATGTGCGTGTCACCCAGAGACAGAGCGTCAACACTGTGATCACCATCACTGCAGCTTTGACTGACACCATGGCTTCTCTTCTGCTGTCGTCTCGTCAGTGGTGGAGTCAAGTCAGAGCAGTGGCTGTGACACAGAGCTGAGCCGCACACCTTTATATGTGCACCGGGGAACAGGAAATTAACAGGTGGAAAATAGAACAATAGAACTGAACTGCAGTCTTACACCAACACAGAATTCCCCCAGATCTGCCCCCACAACAGGCAGAATCAACAGGGTGAAGGGGGGGAGGGAGAGGGGGTGAATGAAAGAAAATGTCCTTTTATCTATAGTTATTTTCTTTTCTTTAAATTTAATGAAGCAAATTAACTGAAAGTATTCCAAGCATAAAGTTAAAAACTCCATCCTGAACTCCCCAAAAGATTTTTATTACTTGATTTAGTTTTTTGCATTATCTTTAGACACAGTAACTCTTTTAGTTGAAGTTGAATTGCTTATAATATTTTAACTTTTCATACACAAGCAAAATTATTTCACACAAATTATATCATATTATATTTTATATATTTTAGCCCTCTAGAGCACTGACTTTTTCTTCAAACTTCAAACTTTTCGCCAAACTTTTTTTGGCTGTAGAGTTGCTATTCACTTTAGAGACCTATTTACTCATATAAACACAATGCTCCTATTTATACACATATTGAATGAAACGGCACAATATGACCTGATGATTAGCATCTACATATAGAACTGCATCTATCATTTTATTTCAATCTACCACCACTCCCTTTGTGGTCGATTTCCAAACAATTATTATTTGTTCTTTCTGTCTTTGTAAAGTAACGGCTCATACTAAGGACTACTACTGTAAGTTTAGTCAAATGTAATCTTCCCTGAGCATTATGAAAATAAAAAAAGAAATAACTAAAGTGGAACTCAGGCTTGATGTGGTTTTGATGGAAAGTTCATGATGAACTATAATATAAATCCGATGACCTATTTTAGTGGTTCTTTGCACTACTCTCCGTAGCTGCATGGGTCATGGGTGTATACCAGGAGTTCCTCTGACCTAGAAAAGAACCGATGCTGCGCCTCCGAACTAACCCACTCTGTGCAGCCCACATGACGCCGCTGCAGCATGAGAAGATACTGTATCCTGTCTGTGATCTCTGCTCTTTTCAAATGTCATTCTGCAATGGCTTTGAAGTCATTATTATTTAATAGCAACACGTGTGTGGAAAGTCTTACACTGTTCTGCAGGAATTTCCAAAGGTGTGGTAGAACCATCATGGGATTAGCTAATGCCATAAATCAGTAACCAAACACTACAAAGAAACTTTCCTGGATGGACTGAGCTGGTGTTGGCATGACCATTATGATCTAAGTTAAAAATACGGTTTGATAAAATTGGCCAAGAAATTCAAAGTTTTCTTCTTCTGCACACACTGACCCCGGTCCTCAGTTTGTCTTTTGGATTTAATTCAGGACTTTGGGCCAGTCACTAACATTCACTTGGATAGTTCTTCAGAAAAAATATACTCTTGTCCTACAGCTGGTTCCCAGGTGGGCTGCAGACCTGGTGCTTGATCTTACAGTACCAGGACGACTTCAGCTGTATTTCCAGGTTTCAATAAACAAATGAACACGACGTCGGTATAATAACCCTCGACAAAAGAGTGACTTTGTTAGGTGTAAAAGTTGCATCTCTCCACTATGTCTTTAAACTGAGGGAAGACAGGAGTATTGACAGGCACTTTCTGTTAAGATGCTCTAATGGTAACAAAACAAATCGTTCAACCCTTATGTTAAATAAAAACTCTATATTATTAAGTATCTAGAATTGGTTTCTACCCATAAACCATACACAGGACATTCAATCACAGGTGTGACTAGAGGAAAACCTATTATAAACAAATCTGTTTGCCAGTCTTACAGCATGTGGACCTGCTGTGAAATGGCCATGTTGTTGGCAGATTAGGCTAACCACCGTGCAGGGTAGCTAAACTGTAATGTCCTAATTTACAAAACACACGTCCATTCTATCCATTCTGTATTAGAAAGAAAATTCTTTGTACTTGCCTACTTTGTTTTGACCTCAGTGAGAAACAATTAACCATTTGTATTTACTGTACTTTCTACCTATGAGTCATAGTTATCCTATTTTTGTGGGGATTTTTGGGTGAATGCTGACTGTGTTCTTTCTGGCCTTACTACATGTACATTATGTAATCCACCTCTCTGTAGTGACCGACAGAGGAGGGTTTTTTTTTTTTTCCCACCATTGCGGCGAAAAGAACTTTGTGCCTCATTCATGTCACTTGTCCTATTTAACTTTACTCGGTGTTAGACCGGCATTTCCAGCTGTGGAATCTTCCCCTTTTCACACTGCATTTAAACTCCACCAGACACTGACACTGACACCACATCACGACACACTGATTATTCTGATTCACAACTGTAGAAGAGCTAAAGAAAGATGGTAAAACACGTCGTGTTTGTCTCTGTTCTGCTGCTGGTGCTGATGCTGGCGTTGACTGAGAGCAGTGAGTATGACTTTGACGATTGAAGATACATCATTCCTGTATAATTGGATTCGGTCAAGACAGGAAAGTCTTTGCTGTTGTTTTGTCATTTGTTGTCTTTCTTTACTGACGTGTTTCCTTCTCTGAAGGCCCAAGGATGTGCTGCACACAGTACAATGAAAAACCAATTCCTGTCAAGTTCTTAAAATACTACAAAGTCCAGGAGATGAGAGGTTACTGCAACATCAAGGCAGTTGTGTAAGAAAGCGAAGCATCAGGAATGACACACAAACAGTACAGTGGAGTGATGACAGCTGATGTTGAAGCTGATGTCTGAACTTTTCTCTTCCTAATTCAGCTTTACAACACTGAAGAACAGATTTGTATGTGCCAACCCTAACTCAAAGTGGGTGCAGCGTGCCATGGAGTCGGTGCCAGAGTATGTCAGTTTCTTTAACCTACAAGTGAAGAAATCCACCTAAGGATACTGACATTATCATATCAAGTTTTATTAATTACTTTACTGCCTGCAATAAAAAAATAAATATTTTTTACAACAAGAGACCCCTTTTTAAAAAAAGTTTCTGAATATACCATTATAATGTTAATAAATTGTTTTTTTAATATTAAGTTAAATGTGTATTTTCATATCAATAACATATCTCATACAGATATTTATAATGTCTCACAACGAAAAGTATTATTTATTTTTTAAACAGAGTAATTAAGGTGAACATAGGGGGACAATAGTTTTAATGCTATAGTTACAGTAACTTTGAAGCTCAAGAGCAAAAAGTTAATGTGTGTATACTTTAATTTTACGTTAAACATACAAAACTAAAGTGTATTAAATACCCAGTATCACCAGTAGATGGCGGAAATAAATCGACAAAGGAAGGATTCACTGGATGAATGAAAAAGCGGAAGTGCAGACAGGAAGTCGGTTTTTGTTTTGACGTTCCTCTACAATTCATACAAGTCATGATAAATGTGTAGTGCGTTTGTTCGGACATTTAGAGTGACTTTTAACAAAAACATCCTTTGTGTTAGACTGAAGATGACCGCTACTTCAAGTGCTCCTAGACCTCGAGAAGATAAATAGACACGAAGATGCTAGAGCGGTGCAGCTGCATGCTAACCGATGCTAATGTGCAGCTGTCACAGTGACAGCTACAGGGGAGAAGATGATACAAAGAGGAGTGAGGTGAGATAAGAAAACAGATAGCATCATCTACTGCGGGAGTGTGTGTAAAATCGATCAATTAAAATTAACGAGCAACCTATACCATTATGAATAACAGCAACAATATATATATTCAGTTTCATGATTTATATTTGTTTGCAAAAATTCCAGAATAGTCTAATTTATTCATGTATTAAAATTACACTGTCATATGATTTTGCTATAAAAAAAGTCCAACACTTGCACTGCTTTAAATGCAATAATATTGTATTATTATGACTTTTTTCATTTAAGGTGTAAAATAAGTGCCAAATGCACACTGTCCTGGTTGAGGTTTCCTCACTGACCAAGGAGTCAAGGTTTAGAGGTCATGAAAGAAGCCGGCTCTGCAGTGTGTGGAGCTGAGGCTCTGGTTGAAGACCAGGAATTTCCCTCTGACAACTCGTCACTCTTCTCTGACAGCTCCACGCCCATCGCTAAGCTGCATGGAAACATCACATGGCACCGTCCACAGGTTTGATCTTGTGCCAGTTGGAAAAGCCGCTGTGAAATTTATCACATGACTTTGTTATGGATTAACTGTTAATAATCTACGTTTGACCTTATCAGGTGTTTTTTGGCAGAGCCAAGTTCACATTCTCACAAAATACAAATACTTTACAAATATATTCTGATTTATTTTTGTTTACTATAATTTTTCACCTGCAGGAGATCTGCCAGTCTCCAGTTCTTCTTCCTGACAACATTAACCTGGCTCATGCCAAACAAGGCCTGTTAGGAGACTGCTGGTTCCTCTGCGCCTGTACTGTCCTGCTCAGGAACAGACACATACTAAACAAGGTAGATAAATATATACAGTATTATTTACATTCTCAGTATGCAAATTCCTAATTATTATATTCTGACAAATGTCACCAAATTCATATTTCTGCAGGTGATTCCTCCAGACCAGCCCCTGTGGGGTGACTGCAGGTACCGAGGCTTCTTCCTGTTTCGTTTCTGGCAGCAGGGATACTGGATGGAGGTGACTGTTGATGACCGCCTGCCATGTATTAATTCCACTCTCTGCTTCTCAAGCTGCCACTCACCAAATGCCTTCTGGGTCGCTTTGTTAGAAAAAGCCTATGCCAAGTAAGAGTCTATCTACTTTACAGATACAATCAGCTGGGAATGTAAAGACTGACATTTAGTTTTTTTACCCATTAAATGTCTGTTCATTCACGTAATGTTGTCTCCATTTTCTCCAGGCTTCATGGCTCATATGAGCGACTGTGGGCAGGTCAGGTGTCCGAAGCCCTGGTGGATTTGACTGGTGGTCTTGCTGAACACTGGAGCTTAGGAGACTTAAGTTTAGATGAGGGGCAGATGGCAGATAGGGACAGTGAACAGATCAGGAGAAGGAGACTTGACTTGAACCGTCTCAACCATGTCAAGGATAATTGTTTATTGAGCTGTTCCACCAACAGCAGCCCTGGAGGTTAGGAATGTTTTTTTCACTTGGATAAAAAAGAAATGCTCTGTCTAATGAGTCAGATTAACAATGGTCTCTGTTTGTCTGTTGTAGGTGCCAGCGAGTTGGGTCAGTACCACGCCCTAAATGTCATGGAATGGTTGGATGTGAAGGCGGAGTCTGGAAGCGAAATACGTCTACTCAGGATCAAAAACCCTTGGGGGAGAGGCTGCTGGGGAGGACGGTGGATAGAGGAGTAAGCATGGATATTATAGTGTAACCTCAGAAGATGTTCATTTCTGCACCTTTGGTCTAAAATTCTTATTTCTGTGTCGTTCTTTGAAGTGGTGCAAGTTGGAGGTCTATTGACCCTAAATGGGCGTCAGAGTTACAGTCCAGGGTGGCAGAGGGTGAATTTTGGGTGGATGAAGCTGAATTTCGGTCCCAGTTTGATGACGTCACAGTCGGATATCCACTCAATGAGGAAGGATACCTAAGGAGCATCTATACTGGTTGGTTTTCTAGTAAATTGGGAGTGGATTTTCTCCTTGCAGTTTCATTTCACCCTGACTCCAGTCCTCTCTGACAGGAAATCTGCTCACTCACAGCCATCAGCTGTCAGGCCGGTGGATAAAAGGACAGTCAGCCGGCGGCAGCAGAAACAGCAGCAGCTACTCCATCAATCCTAAATTTTGGATTAATGTCAGTGAGAGCGGAGAGATTATTGTGTCCCTGCTGCAGCAAAGGAAGAGGAGAAACACAGAGAAACTGGCACAAATGCACCTCAATGACACAAAGCACCAGCACTACCAGGCCACTGCTCTACACATGTGGAAGGTTTGTGGGAAGAAGCCAGCGTTTTACATTCACTGACAATTATGGTTTAGGGTTAAATTTGATTTCCTTTCTACCAGGTGGAGAAGAAGCATTTTAATCTGAGCCGCTTATTGAACAAACCTCCTTGTGCTTCTACTCACTGCCACACCTATGAGAGGGAGGTGGTTCTACACAGGCAGCTGGAGCCTGGCTACTACCTGCTGATCCCTAGCACCTACCAGTCGGGGGCCGAAGCCCGCTTTCTTATCAGGGTCTTTTCCTCTGCTTCTTTATCTCTTAGGTGAGGAATCAGCAAGACAGAGAAAGAAAAAAGAATTTTAAAGAAAAGTATTTATGAGACATACTTTGTTTTGTTTTAAGCCTCAATCAACTTCTGAATTATTACCATCACACTTTAGAAAACTGCACTATATTATGAGTTATTATCTAAAATAAAAAACTGTTATGTATAACTTCTTAAATGGTTTTTCCTCAGTGCTCTGAAAAGCCCAGCGCCATCACTGCCTCTAATAAAAGATAGTGAGTGGGAGACCAGCTACTTCCACGGCTCGTGGGTGACAGGAAAGACGGCAGGAGGAAGCAGGAACTTCCTGTCTCACTTGCAGAACCCCTGCTTCCCTTTTACGGTGACTGAGGACGCAGAGGTGAAGTCAGGAGATAATGTCAGGATAAACCTTCACCAGAACCGTGCCGACTCTGAGCTCCACGCCATTGGTTTTCATGTGTACAAGGTCAGTGCGACAGCTTGGCGTAACATTTGAATTCCATCCACATTTAAATTGAATCTAATCATAAACAAAGATGATTCAGTCATTTAATAATCTAATACACTTTAAATAAGCTAAACTTTACCATTTATATCACACATCTGGCATTAAGACTTTACAGGACACATGTGGACAGTTGAGCAGAGACCAGGACCCCATAGCCAGCTGTGTCCCCCACTGTTATACACAGAATGTCAGTCTGTCCTGCAGTCTTCCTGCTGGGACTTACACCATCATCTCGTCCACATATGAGCCTGATTGCTGCGCAGACTTCACCCTCAGCTTGTCTCGTAGGATACACAGGTTTGATCATGACGCAGTAGTATGTACTGTAGTATTCAGATGTCTTATCACTGAGCTGTTGTTGGAATAAGTGATGGTGTTTGTCTCTTTCAGGAAAGTGGTCAAAAGTCAGGAGAGTCTGGGAAGAACCATTCAAGAGGTTTGTAATGTGATTTCACAAATGATCAATTTTATCAATTGTATCAAGAGATGTTTATTACTTACTGCATGTCACTATTAATGATGTTTAAATCATCTTTTCATTTCACTGTCTCTCTCTGGCTTCAGGTCTCCCACATCTCTCTGATGCAAAGCTAGTTCTCTGGAGCTGTTGCCTCACCTCCGATGTCAGTTCTTGCTCCCAGTGCCTCTTGGCTCACGATGAAAGTACCAGTCCTTCTTTCTAACTTCACCGCACTGTGTGTCTGTGTTTGTATGTATTGTATGTGTGTCTGTGTGAGGAATCCTAGAAAACCTTTTATCCTGAATCGCTGAGGCTCAGGGCTGACGGGTAGCCAAACGCTCATCGGCGATTAGGACATCAGAGCTAGTCGGTGGGTTGGGCTGTTAATGAAGTATGACGGGACTGGACGGAGTAAACAAACAGCCGCCATTGAAGAGAGCCGCCGCTGCTCTGGCTCATTCACTCACTGGCGCGTCGGCCTGAAACAATGATGCCTCTCATGAAGGTCCTCACAGAGGTATGGGGAGGGTGAGGGGTGAGGGGATGGTCTTCACCAGCAGAGCCACACCACACCACACCATGCAGTGCCAAACCAAACCAGTTTCCTCTCATTCATCAACTCAACACAACTGTGGCTGACTTGATTTGTTCTCTTGACACAAGGTCTTACCAACCCTTTTTATCTTCTCTTAACCTGCTCGGCATCCTCACTAACCAGCAAATCAGGCAAATCAGGCAGAACATGAATAAATTCCACCTTGTTTTTGATTCACCCACTCACCCCCATGCTCTTCCACTGTCATCCCCCAGAACTGGTGCAGCTCAGACCTGAGCAGGGGATTGATACAGAGGAAGAAATAATGAATGTGGCTCATTAGATAAAACAGCTTTATCAACATCTAATCCTTCTTGTGTTAGTGTGGTGATGCGACTGTCTGCTGACCAGGCTGCCTATGTGTGTGTACAACTGACAGGCTCTCTGATTATTCAGTAAAGCCACAGTTAGGGAGTTCTGAATACATCCACCTGGTGGTGTGTGGTACTGCGCTATGTACTGTACTTTATATGCTTTGAAAGTTAATGAATAAAATATTTAAACTTAATTGGATAGTCTTTTGGCTTTCCATCCTGTTTTCTGTTTTAATGTGAGACTAGACAGTAGAACTTGGAATAATGATGTTGTGAAAAAAACTATTTATAGATAACATACAACAAAAATCTGGATTTATATACAATATATAAGTTATATAGTTGCATTGTTTCACAGATGAGTAACAAAACAATGAAACTTCCCCAAAATGTTAATACAAGATTATTTTCACTGTAAGAATACCTATCTATTTACATTTTCTGTTAAAACACATTAAAAATATCTTCATAATAATAAAAGAGTGAGTAAATACATAAACTAGTGAACAAATGTGATGATGACTAACCTCCGCCCCAGAGCAAAATGCAGTGCTCTGGGGCATATAAATAAGGTATTTCATGTAAAAAAAAAAAAGGTTGATAAATTATAATAAGTGCAAAATACTACACTTTGCACCTTTGCAGCATTGACACTCCTGGACAGCAGAGGGCGGCAAATCTCCTCTCATCCTGTGAAAGACGCAATAGAAGAAAACACTCGGCTCACCGGAAGCGTTGCTGTGGAATTCAGGAGGCTGAGACCGGACTCCACGAAGCCCTCAGCAGGAGAAGCATGAACAACAAATTCGATGCGTGAGTTATTGACTTTTCTATGGATCGTATTCTTCTGGTCGTCTCCGAACTTCTTTTCTAAACAACTGGAAATATTAAACTGTTGGCGTTGGTGTGTAAAACTGAGAGGCGTGTCAGTCAATGTGCGGTCGTGCGTGGTCCGAGGGCTCCTAAAACAAGCATAAAACATTGGTAAATTTAACACAGTATCAAGTAACGGGATTGAGCTGTTTATGTTTGAAATCAGAAAGTTGCACCGTGTTGTTAGCCGTAGCTTAGCCTGTCGGTAAAAAGGCAGGCCGCAAATCCTCGGCGTAGTAGTTAGTTAGACAGCCTGGGAAGGTTCACTTAGGCTCTGCTTACAGCACACTACCCGGAAACTGACAGCTGGTTAGCTGATGAGTTGTAACGATAGATATATGTAGAATTTTATAACTTGTTAAAACTTTTTTTCTACAAAATTAAGTAATAGCCTACATTTCGCATACCCTTTGCACGATACATAATAATGCCAAAATATTATCAGTAAATGAAACTTAATTGGACCAATTCGGATGAGGCTGCCTTAGGTAGATACTAAAGCAAAAAATATAGGAAACTGAACATGTAATGCATTGTTTTCTAAATTTGCATCAATGTGCAGTGGAACACAACGTTTTCGAAATTAATGTTTCAATTATATATTATAGGAACTGGCCAGAACCACTGGAAATGAGAAACCTGGTTTGTGATAGTTTAAGGTGGATAGAATGATTTAAAAACTAATGGACCAGCAAGTTGGACAGTTTTTATTATTATTCTACATAGGTTAAAAAATAGGTTTTGGTAATACAGTATGATGCAACAGGATGTCATCAGAGAACTGCAGCACACATAATGGCTTAATTAATTAATTAATTAAGTTATAGAGCTACAGAGAATGCTTTTTGCTTCCACCGTTATAGTGTGGTCAAACTGGTTAGTTCCGATTAGGTGATGTTTCAGTGTAACACACTTGTTTTTTTGTGTGTTTGTATTTTCTAGTTTAAAAGACGATGATAGTGGAGACCACGACCAGGACCAAGGATCACCGAAAGACAGTGAGAAGGAAAAACCTGAGGACGAGGACAAGGAACAGAACACACAAAGGAAAAAGGTTGGAACATTTGAAATAAAGTTGAGAAAGGTTATTCGTTTGTTTCCGTGTGCGGCTTGATCACGTCTTCTTTATCATCAGATGGTTGTGCCAGGAGCTGGAGAGCATCCTCTTCAGTACAACTACACCTTCTGGTATTCCAGGCGAACACCAGGGCGACCAGCTAGTACTCAGAGCTACGAACAAAACATCAAACAGATTGGCAGCTTTGCCTCGGTATGATCTCATGGTCCTACTATGTATACAAATAATTTGCTTATATCAAGCAGGCATTACCAGACCCCTGGCTTTAATAATAGCTGTTTCCTGGTTTTGTTTGAATTTAAACTACAACCATGCATGTCATGAACAGCATTTATCTTTTAAAATTCTTCAGCACTTAGACAGCTGAATAGTACTAAATGGCATGCATTTTAACTATATTTAACAGTGGCGATTAACTTGAGGTGTGCCACACCTTTGGTTTGGAATAAAAGTTTTTCGGAATTTGTCTCTTTTTGAAATAGTTATTCTTATTTTCAGTAGTTTCCTATATTGTTTTGATTTTGTGCTTGATTTTGCTGCCATAGGTGGAGCAGTTCTGGCGTTTCTATAGTCACATGATCCGGCCAGGTGATCTGACCGGCCATAGTGATTTCCATCTCTTTAAAGAGGGTATTAAACCTATGTGGGAGGTGAGTCAAAATGATTGGAACTATGATTTGATTTGAAATGCACACTCTGACACGAGCAGTTTGTATTGTGCGTAGGATGATGCCAATAAAATGGGCGGGAAGTGGATCATCCGTCTGAGGAAAGGCTTGGCGTCTCGGTGCTGGGAGAACCTGATCCTGGCCATGCTGGGGGAGCAATTCATGGTGGGAGAGGAAATCTGTGGGGCTGTAGTGTCAGTACGCTTCCAGGTACAGACAAACTGCCTTACACACATGAGCATACAACCTCAACTCCAACATATTCCTACATGCACTCCCCTCTTTCCTCAGGAGGACATCATTTCCATCTGGAACAAAACAGCCAGTGACCAGGCCACCACTGCCCGCATCAGAGACACACTGCGCCGAGTCCTGAACCTTCCACCCAACACCATCATGGAGTACAAGACGCACACAGACAGCATTAAGTATGTATGTCCCATCACTTTATTATTTTTTTTCTTCTTTTCTGCCATTTCTGCATGCTTGTATACTTCTTTCATAAAGTATATTCCACAGACAGGAACTATTACCAAGATCATTGTTATTCTCAGTTTCAAGCCTTCTCGGCAGTGTAGGTCATTATTTAAAGCTGAAGTTGAATCAATCAATCAGTGAAGTTTTCTTCACTTTCTGAAGTGAAGTTTTTTTGTTCATTTTATTTATTACCTCTTGAAAGTTGATCATTGGGGTTTGATTAAAATTTCTTTCTGTTAAAATCCTGGTCCTTCACAGAAAACACTCCATGGTTCCTGGTACTAGTTCCTGTGGTGGAAACATGCCTTTAACACTTCAAGTAATTACTGCATGTTGTAATATTTCTTCACACAAATGTGTTCCCAATAACAGTTACATTTTTTTCTATTTGAATCTTACAATCTCATAGTTTATTTAATATTACAACTCTTAGGAGATACATGTTAGTATCCATTGTAGTAAAATTATTTAACAAATACATTAATCTCTTAAATATCTGTACATTTCTATTGTCAATTGTTGGTGAAAAATAAGAAAAGAAAAGTAGCCGTAAATAATGCAGACATTGTACATGTACATACAGACAATATATCTGCATGTGTTTATGCATATGTGGATATGTGTATGTTCATATATACATACATATACATATGTGTATATACAGCATGAGTACTGTATATTTGGGCATATTGGGTATGTATGTGTGGACACATGCATACAGATTTGCAGATACGTTTTTATGTGTACATATATTAAAATATTTATATAGTTTGTATATTCAATTGTGTGTATATGTGAATATATTATAATTATTTTTATTATTATGTGCAGTTATATAAAATGTAATGTTAATACATTGTAAACTCCCAGTGGGGGGGTGGTTGTGGGGTGGTAGTAGGGTGGGGTCTAAAGAATAAAGTGTTTATTATGAATGATGACGTACTGCATCCTCCTTTGTAGAGCCTGGGAAGACTTCCATGGTCTGGTGAATGCTAGTGGTGGACGTTAGACCTTCAAACAGAACACCTCTAAGATGGTAAAGAAAAAACAAAAAAAAAACAAAATATAAACATTTTTCAATTTTTTAAAAAAAATTTAATTTATTTCTCATTTATTTTTTATAGGTGAGGAGATGAAGTAATGCCTTGTGGGTTGATGTGTCCATGGAGGAACACCTCTGTGTCTAACCTCTGCGTGACATGAAGCCAGTCATACAAAGTCAGGACGCGAGAAGAAGACCATCACTTATTTGTACCAAATTGGAAAATAACAGAGAGAGTCATATAACTGGACAGTGAACCAAGTCAAAGAGAGAAATGTGTGTTATTTTTTAATGAAATTGAGGGAGAAGAGTTTCATTTTTTTATTTTTTGGTAATGCCAAGCATTTGCTGAGCTGCCACCAGAGGGGGCAATGCTTGGCATTTGGTCATTTGCTGATTACAAATTATACTCCATAAAAGGCAACAGAAAAATATCTGTTATGTGGCTAAAACATCTTTTTATTGCTCAAATCAAATCTCACATTCTGCTATTAGTCAGTTCGTGCCTGTTCAACAGTGACCCAAACAGGATCGAAATGTTATTTTATAATAGTGCTGTATTTTAACTACTGTTCTGCTCATTTTGAACTACAAATGATGACTATTGTTGTTGATATGTTTGTAAATACAGTCCACTTTAAAGGTCATCTCAGTGAATCGTTACTGATTCTCATTTTTGAAACCATATCAGAACCTGGAGGGATGATGATCTTCTTGTGTTGTTCACAATGTCTTCAGAGTGGACTAGTGAGCAGCCTGCATCCTTGTGCCTGACCTCCAGCTTGACCTCTAGCCGGACCCAGTCCAGGTTTCTTCACCTGTGTTAAGTCTCATTAGAAAGTCTAAATGAAGGTGATTGTGACTGAACCCAGGGTCAGGTTACATTTAGTAGTGAACGTTCTGAGACATATTCAAAAAGAACCTATAGAGTGATGACTAAATGGCCATATTTGGTCATGGGGTGAATAGTGTTCATTTCAGAAGAGGTGGAACAAAGGAAAAGGTTTAAAACATTTTTATAGCAGTGAATGTTGAATATGCATCTGATGCTGAAACAGACTCATGGTCTTGGCTGCCTCTTGTGTTTGGGTCAGCAGCAGTCCCATTTATGGTCCCGTTTATTCATCAGCTCATTTCAAAGAACATGTGATTCTGTGGAGAGATGAGGAATGGAGCATTCATTTTTACTGTTTCAGTAAATACCAAAATACTAGATATTACCAACTAATAAACCCTTTAAACTGCATCCCATAGGGGAGCTGCATGTTACTACATGTGGCACCAAAGCTTCAATCGTTATTCTCATTGTACTGTGATATGTTCTCTTTCAGTTCAGATGATTAAAATGGTTTTCTCACCAGTAAGAATGTGGATCCCAGCAGCAGCAGTTTCATGTGTGACTCCATATTCAGTGGCACTAAAGAAGGAAAATGATGGAGAAATAATGTGTTTCAGGCAAGTTCAATGAACACCCACAATACTGATTAAATATTGTGGTTCATATATGAAATACATGAACTCACCATTCAGCCCAAAATATTCATGGTCCATGTTTTGTTCCTCATTGAAGCCAGGCCATTTCTTCCATATGGTGCCCAGTCTCTCACCGATGTTTGAGACGACCTACAGGAACATGTGAGAAAAAAGAATCAACACGTAAGTGCTAAAAAAACCACATCAATACCTTGAAATGTGTTTGATTGTACGGTTGTTATGTGGATCCACCTGAAACTGCTGGTCAGAGAAACATCTACATGGACAGCAGCAGCCTTGGATTCTGACAGAAGATGCTCCATCTGCATCACACACTTCCAGGAGTGGGGTGAACATGCTCCACCTGGATGCACAGTAACCAGCAGACAGCTTAACACACACTGCACAAAGTTAAACAT